GTCGTCCAGGATCTGTTACTGCGTAATCGCATTTTGTACGTGTCACCATGAAGATCTCGCGATCCATTCCATTTACTGACACATATATCAGCCAGACAATCAGCGACGTGCTTGAACGCCACGGTGGAGTACCCTTGGACACGTCCGTCAATGAACTTTAGAATATTTTGTCCGAGAAATACGGCGAGGACTCGCGGCTGATCTACAACCTCGAGGACCAGGGCGGCGAAGCCTGCTCCCTGCGATATGATCTCACCGTTCCCTTCGCACGTTGGCTCGCCATGCGCAGTGACGTTCAGCACATCAAGCGGTACCAGATCGCCAAAGTGTATCGCCGTGACCAGCCTGCCGTCTCCCGCGGGCGCCTTCGCGAGTTCTATCAGTGCGATTTCGACATTGCGGGCATCTACGATCCCATGATCCCCGACGCTGAGATCCTGCGCATCATTGCCGAGGTTTTTGAGGCGTTTGATATGGGCATCACTATCAAAATGAACCACCGGAACATCTTGGACGGCTTGTTCGCGGTGGCCGGAGTGCCAGATGATAAGATTCGCCCGATTAGCTCCGCTGTTGATAAACTGGACAAGATGTCATGGGACGAAGTGAAGAAAGAGATGGTCGAGAAGGGCCTTTCCGAAGAGGCCGCCGAGCACGTGGGCCTTTACGTGCAGCGCAGTGGCACCATGCGCGAGATGCTGTCCAGTCTGGAGGCAGACGCCAACCTGATCATGAATCAGAATGTGAAAGAAGGTGTGGCCGACCTCAAACTGCTTGCCACTTACATAGAAGCCATGGGCGTAGGTTCCAAGGTTTCGTTCGACCTATCGCTAGCAAGGGGTCTGGATTACTACACGGGGCTGATCTACGAAATCGTCCCTGACCGTATTGATGGCCAGTCCACTCAGGTCGGAAGCATTGCTGCCGGAGGTCCCTATGATAACCTGGTAGGGATGTACGGTCGACGTCCCGTGCCTTGCGTAGGTATATCATTTGGAATTGATCGGATCTTCACCCTCTTGGCTGAGCGACGCAAGAACAAGAAAGCCTCCGAGCTGGGCCGCGAGGCTGATGTCTATGTCATGGCCTTTGGGGGCAAGGACTTCGAAGGCCTTTTGGTCGAGCGCATGGAGGTGGCCCGACAGCTCTGGGATGCAGGCATCCGTGCCGAGTTCACTGCCAAAGTCAGACCCAAACCGCAACAGCAATTCAGTGCCTCAGAGGGCGCGCCCGTCGCTGTCATACTTGGTCAGGAGGAGCTAGATGCGGGACAGGTTCGTGTCAAGCAACTTCACGTCGGGGACAGAAATTCTGCACAGAAAGATAAAGGACAGCTAGTTGCCAGACAGGATGTGGTCGACGCAGTGAGAGCATTGCTGGCGTTGAGCGTAGAGGGATCATGAAGATTTGGGGTTTCATTAGTTCTGGTAGCAAGCGTTTGAATAGACCGAGGTGTACGGACCGTCGGTGTTGAGTGCTTGCCTGTTGTGGCCTGTATTGAAAATGAAGAGCGCAAGAAAAACGACATCACGAACGAAGCAAAGGTCCTCCGTAGTCGGTATTTACAGTCAGTTGTTAGGTATGTGAAGGGATTAAACCTGGAACCGGGCCCTACTCAACCCCATATACGCGCCTTCGTGGTCTCAACCCCCTAGATCAACTCTCGAGCCCCCTGCTCCAAGGGTCCACAGGTACCTCCTGATACAAGGCCAGTAACATTGCAGAGTTGATACCGCGATATGCTTTGGAGTGTGTATCCTCATGTATATCGCAAATCATAATTGTAGCAACCCGTCTCAACTTTATGGGATGTGAAATCTCATGAATTATTTCTACTCGGCAAGATTGTTGAGATACTTCCTCCACGTTGCCTTCAAGACGCCTCCCTTGATCGCATTTCTCAAGCACGGTGAGTAACCTCGCCCTGTAGCTCCTCTTTCTCAAATGCAGCCTTGACGACCTCACCCATGGCCGCAGTGTCAGGCTGATATGACTTGAACTTCCGAGCGGGGACCTTCTTCATAAACATCTCGTCCAGCTCCTCATACGTCCTTCCGGCCGTCTCGGGGTGGTAGAACCACAAGAAGACAAGAGAGATGATGGCCAGCACTCCAAAGATGTAGCTGATCTTCGCTCCCAGATTCAAATGATCCGGATTGAAGAGGTACGGAAGCACAAACGAGAACATGACGTTCAAGCTGTTCTGTGCCGCGAGGCCGATGGCAATGGTCTTGATGCGGAGGCGCGAAGTGGACACTTCGCAAAGGACGGTGTAGGCCGTGGCGCCGATAGTGGCGTTGTACCACCAGCAGTAGATCAGAATGAAAGCAACCGTGGCACGAGCCTCAGGTCCGCCGGGCTCACGGTCGGCGAAGATGGCCAGGCTTCCCGTGGCGAAGAGAATGATGGTCAGGACAAAGAGGCCCCAGAAGGTGAGGCTGCGGCGACCGACGCGATCGATCAGCCACCATGAAATGACGTTGCCGATGGTCGACAAGACTTGTTGGGTGATCTGGAGTTTGAAGCTCATAGCAGTGCTGTACCCGGCTCGCTGCATGTAGTAGGTGCTGTATCCGGCGGCGAACATCACGCCGCTAAGGGACTGAATGCAGAGGGGAGCAATCGAGACGATGGTGCGGCGAAGGTTGGACTTGCGAAAGCACTCGATATACGTAGCGCCTGCAGTCTCGGAGCTGACCTGCGCCAGGGTGTGCTTGATGGCGGCAAGACGCTTCTGACCCTCGTCTCCACGGTGGCCGAGGTTATTCAGGGATTTGAGGGCCGCCTCGTCACGGTCCTTGGAAGCCAGCCACCAGGGCGATTCTGGCATGAAAGCCACAAAGAGGGTTGCTATGGCAGCAAAGCCGTATTGTGCGACGAAGACGGCGCGGTAGGCCCATCGGTTGGGGAGGTCCCCCGTCTCGTTCACGATGAGGGCGACGATGAGGGGTCCGATTGTGTATGACAGCGCAGACAGGCAGGTGAATATGCCGCGCAGCGCAAGAGGGGTGACCTGAAAAGACGGGCTTTGGTCAGTATCATGTTTCCAGATGTGCACAAGTCTTGGCCCATGAACGAACCTCGCCAATGTAGGTCACTGTAATTCCCTGGATGGCGCCGATGGAGAAGCCATTGAGCAGCTTGCCCCCCAAGAACAAGGCAGGACTCGTAGCCAAAAGCTCCATCGTGATGGCACCGTAAGCAATGACAAGTGCCATCATGATGACCTTCTTACGGCCGATCCAGTCTGCAAGCTGTCCACCTCCCAGAGCACCCATGACGGCCCTGGTAACCGGGTATCAAGTCAGATTCTGAAACATCAAGGCTTTCCCGGGGACCGGAAAGAACTCACGTAGCGATGGGAGCACCGTTGAACGCAGCTTGCCACGAGGCATCGATGACATGCTCGTCATTAAAATGATGGCCAAAGTCCTCGCGGAATTTCGGTATGCCGAGGATGACGCCGGCGGCCTGGTTCTCGAAGCTGCCAAGGAGCACGAGAAAGACTGCGTACAGACACCACAGGCAGGACTTGGGGAAACGCCTGAAGGATTCTCGCTTGCCGATGTCGTGTTCGTCCTGGTTGGCAAGGCGGGCGAGCTGGTCCGTCACCTCGTCGTCAGCCACCATATCGGGGTTGTTCTTCTTGTCGAGCTCCATGACGCCTGCCTGCTTGGTTTCTTGAGCAACGATAGAGTCGGCTGAACATTTGTCGGTGATGATGAGCTCCAAGGTTCAAAATGCCATCGCAGTGAGGTGGAGGCGATGGGCTTATATGTGACCTGGCTCGGCGAAGGGCTCGCCAGTCGGCCATGGTTCGGAAACAATGACTCGGTCGTTCTAGCGTGCCTTGCTCGGTCTGGGGAATCAGGACTGGGGTAAAATGCTCCAGGATCGGCTTGGAGTAGTCGAGATCTTGAGCAGGCTTCTCACGCTACCTTGGCAAGCTTGGGTACCTGACTTTTCGCAGTGAACCGTCTGGCGGCGAGTCATGGTACCAGGTCAACATACCAACAACCCATCATGCCATCGTGCTTCGCACTTCCTGATCGGGAGCCAGCTCGGGACTGCAGAACGCCACGTGGTGACCCAGCAGATCCAGGCATCATGCGAAGGACCAGCCGTAAACCTGGAGTACAGATGGTGGGGCCCCTCGGGGTTGCATGTGGAGAGAACTGGAGAAACGACGGAGAATCCCATGATGGGCAGTGAACGAGTACGGCTTCCGGCTCTTCGCGGTGCGCTTAACAATTCCGAATCAGGCTTAAGTTGGCATCTGGGTGTTGTCCAAGTCCGAACCGGTGATGGTGCCTCTGATTGCCCTTCTCGTCAGCATTGACAGCAGTTCAGTTCGGTTCTTCTTCCTCAGACTGCGTTGTCTTGAAGATGTTTCTTTCATAAACGCCATTGACCCGAGAGCCGAGCTGGACCAACGCGCCACAACGCCCTTTCAAGCTCAAAGCCCGTCGGTAGGAATCTTGCCATGAGTACCTCGAGCCTTCAGTCGTTTCTCGAGACGCCGCGCGTCTTCGTGCTGTCCGACATCTCCAATGAACCTGACGATGCAGAGTCGCTCGTGCGGTTCCTTCTCTACTCCAATCAATTTGACATTGAGGGCATTGTTGCTGTGACGTCAACATGGATGAAGACGAAGGTCTGCCCTCAAGACATGCACAAGATCATTGACGGCTACGCCGGCGTAGTCGACAACCTGAATAATCACACACACCCCGACCACCCATACCCGAGCGCAGAAAAACTACGCAGCTTGGTCAAGTCAGGCCCTCCAGTATGTTGGTCCCCTCTTCCTCTTCAGTCACTTGCATGAAAGACTGATCTGGATGCGCCTTCAGGTATACGGCTTTGAGGGTGTCGGGACAGACAAACCACTCACGGACGGCCACCAACTGCTTCTGGACAGGATTGAAGCCTCCTCCGACAGACCACTATGGGTGCTCGTATGGGGTGGCACAAATGTCCTCGCACAGGTCCTCCTCACGATCAAGAAGAAATATCCCGCCGACCAGGCGGCATCGTTGCGCGCCAAGCTCAGGGTCTACACAATCTCGGACCAGGATGACACCTCGGCGTGGATTCGCGCCGAATTTTCCGACATCTTCTACATCTCCTCCGTCCATGCGTGGAACCAATATGGCCTCGCAGCATGGACAGGCATCGCGGGCGACCGATATTACGGTTTTGATCACGGCGGGCCCGATTTCTCCAAGATGACGAAATCTTGGATCGAGAAGAATATCCAGGTCGGGCCCCTCGGCTCGACGTACCCGGACTACATCTTCATCCCCGAGGGCGACACACCAACCTTCCTGTATCTCATCCAAAACGGACTGGGCGTCAGAGAACACCCCGAGTACGGCTCCTGGGGCGGCCGCTACGCCCTGACAGATCTCAGCGGCAAGGGCCTGGCTGGCAGACACTACAGCGACACGGCGGACGCCGTGGTGGGAGCCGACGGCAAGACGTACACCTCAAACCAGGCGACGATCTGGCGGTGGAGGGACACGTTTCAAAACGATTTCGCCTCGCGGATCCAGTGGTCTCTGAATGCTGACTTCGAGGCCGCCAACCACCACCCCGTTCTCTGCGTTAATGACTTGTGGGGCCATGAAGCTCTGGAGCTCGAGATTGAGGCTGGCGAGGACATCGTGTTTGATGCGAGTAGCTCTTATGACCCAGACGGCGACAGCCTGTCGTTCAAATGGTGGCAGTACAAAGAGCCGACGGCCACGCAATGGCTGGTGCGGTTCGAGGTCTCGAATCTCGAGATTGAGAACCTGGAGCCCGATGCGAGACGCGTCAAGGTGCGCATACCGCCGCCGGAACAGTGCTGCTTTGACAGGTTCACCACGGGGAGCCCCGTGGCTCGGGGCCAGCTACTACATCTGGTTCTGGAGGTGACTGATAACGGTACGCCTGCGCTGACGTCGTATAAGAGGATCATCATTCAAACAACGAACAAGGACTTGCGAGGGGCTGTGGAGGCCGGGTCAGCCCCGGATAACATTGCCGAGGTGATGAAGGCCTTCGGCGCCGATGTTTGGAATGCCAATTGAGAATTCTCAGACCTTGGATGAATTGGTTTGCCGTGGTTGAAGTCAACTGTACTAGATCGATCCGATCAAGAGTATCCGTGGGAAACCTCAATGTAGTTGTCTCCGAATCAAAGCCCTGTCAAAAGACAATCTGTGCACCCCAATGACGGTACTCACATCCCCAGTGACCTCCACCTGCGTCCACATTCCGGCCCATCCGCATCACCCAAACGGTACAACGCATGCGCAACAACAGCCGGCAACTTGCTGTCCTCTCCCAAAGTCGGCCGAATAAAACGGTTCCGCCAACGTCCAATGACTTCAATTCTGGGTGCCCTCTACTTCTTCTTGTTCGGCAGCGCCACGATATTGCCATTGTCCACCATGGCCCGACCCTCCTTGGCATCCCCAAATATCACCATCACGCGCCCGTCGACCCCATTCGCACCATCGCCTCTGCCGCCGCCAAATCCTCTCACCCATGCCGACGAGATACTCGCCCAGTTCTCGAAGCTCACGCGCTCAACGTCCTGGCGACTCGTGTCCAAGATCCCCTTCGAGGGCGAGCTCTGGGAACCAGAAGGGATCGCCAAGGTAGGGACGGATCGCTACTTCGTCTCTGCTGGCGAGTACACAGCCCCGACGCGGAAATTTCCTGATGGTCAATGGGAGGATGGCATAGACCGGACAGCCGGTGCTGGGTTCGGGGCACATTGTCGTGTTTGACGGGACAGGGGCCAGCGAATCGCCGACGCAACGCTGAGCGAAAAAGACTCAAGAGAGGTACGTCGACAAGTCGCAAATGATTTGAACCCTGATTACTTTTTCCGTTCTTGAAAAGAGTGATGAATTTTATGTGACACGCACAAATTAGTATCACCTGGGTGGCATTGACTATGATGGCGAGTTCATCTGGGCTACTCTCAGTGAATACCGACCGAACAGCGCGGCCACAGCCCTACGCCTGAGTCCTGCCACCCTCCAACATGAAACCCTCTTTCGAGTAGGCGACCATCAAGGGGGCATTGTCCATGATCCCTCGAATCGTACCCTGACGACTCTCAATTGGGGCGGCCGCGAGGGCTCCATATGGAGCCTTGACAGACCAGCACCACCCCTGTCAAAATTCGCATCGCCACAGCGCAGAGTGATCAACCCGTCACACTGGATCGATTATCAGGACTGCAAATTTCTGGGGCACGCCAAGGCGTATGACGACCGCGCCGTGATGCTCTGCTCTGGCATCGCGAAGCTGGCAGACGGGGTCGAGGTCGGCGGAGTCGCAATCGTCGATACCCAGACGCTGGAGCCGCTGATGGAGGTTCCAATCACCATGAGGACGGACCATGGCGTGTTGGTGACGAAGAACCCAGTGGATGTCGACGTAGTTGATGGCAGGATGCAGCTCTACTTCCTGCCCGAGGAGGGCCATGCCACGTTGTACGTGTACGAGGCGGAGTGAATGCTTGCGAGTTAAAAAGGTGTCCGGTTAGCTCTGGATCGCACCTATTATAGCTTCTTTAGCGTCTTCTGTGCCATGAGAGGCGCCAGCGTTTTGGGCCTGATCTTTGCCATCCTCAAGTTTAGCCACCTCTGGCACACCATGACCGGTGGCACCGTTTGGAGGCACGACGTCAGCCGCGTCAGAGGATTGGCCGTCTGACTCTTCAAGAGGTCTCCAGTAGATACACGTGCTAGAAAATGTCGTGTGCGTGCCATCTTGCGGAAACGGCAGCAGCTTGTGTGATGCATGCATGTCCTTCATGCACTGGAAGTCGCCCTCTTTCAAGTTGCCCACGCCGTCCCACGTCTCCCAACCGGTGCCAACGAACACTGCGGGCAGTGTGGACAGCGCGGCCTCGTATATCGGTCGATACATGTGAATGGCGAAGAGGAGGGAATGTCGGTCGACAGCCTCGAAGGCGCCAGGAGACTCGACAATTTCATGGCCAAGGCTTTCGAGAAATGCCTTGTCGTTGGCTGTGAAGCGCGGCTCCTGGAAGATACAGCGAATGGGCTCGCTTGATTCTTTGGCTACAAAATTGTCAGATCAGTCTCCTCGGACGTGGAATCCTTCACGTACATAGCAGCTCAACCATGTCCAGGAAAGCAATCAACTGGATGTATGTCCTCCTCCGGGCGTCCCAGCCGCCATCTTCCGTGTCAAATGTGCCGACACCCAAGCACACCGCCTTGTTCACTGGCGCATGCACATTCTTGTTCTTCTTTTCAAGCAGTACAGAAAGTCGCTGGTGAGCATCCGATCCGTGCCATCGTGTGTGGAAGGTCTCGAATTCGGTCTTGATGTCGGCCACAGATTTGTGATGGTGGGGTTCGTCGGGTTTGATTTTGTTGGCGAGTGCCGATGGTACAGTGTTTCGTGGGGCGCGGCGGAATCTAGACTTGGATCTCACTCGCGTCCATTCTTCCTGTTCGACAGGACCGTCTTCGACGGGAAGGCTTTCCGACATGATTGATGGCGATCAATTGACATAAAGATGGTGGTTTTGACCAAATTTCGGAGGGGGGGGTTCGGCAGAATGAGGGGTGACTCTAGACCGCTTTCCCTTAAGGTGGACGCTGCATGGCAGACTGAAGTCGAGCACCAGAACTCGGAGGGACCCCTCGGTCTTTCCAAATCAACTACAATATCCATACCTGTTGTTCACAACAAGCACATTTCAGAGCACTAATTATCATGCGTCCATCGACGATCGCAAAGAAGAGCCAATAACTGTTCGCAGAAATGGTGGGTGTAGGCAAACTCGCAAGTCATCTAGAAGTTGGCATGAAGCCTTGTCTTGGGTTCCAGCGACACATGGTAGAAACAACCCGAGAGTACGTCTCAGTCTGGTCCACGCGAAGGATTCATCCTCCGGCACTTGTGAAGCCACCTATTCGACATCTTTCCAGGCACGTTGCGGCGTGTATTTCAACGCCGAAGCAACGAATCGGCAGCGGCGGCCATTGCCAAGCTTGGCAAAACTCGGATGGCCATCAGTGCAGCAGTCAGCTTATGGCGTTTGGCGAAACCCAGGCGGCGGCGTGACAACTTGTCAGAGAATCGATCGACAGTGAAACCCGGAGTTGAGTTGTCGTCAGCAGCGCAGTCATCATTCAGCATGGACACGAAGCATCACAAGTCGTGGAATCGAGTACAATGCCGACGATCTGCGACTTCCGTAGCTTCGAAATCAACCGCCACGGCATCAAGGTCACCTAGCTCCCACAGGTGCAGATACCACCATTCATGTACATGTACAGGGACCGAAATAGCCCCCATCACCCACTAGGTCCAAGACCAGGTCAGACCGGAGAATGAGGGGCACCAGTACACAAAGCACACAAGCACATTGGGCTTGGCATGACACCAACTTCATGTCGGCGCTTACAAGCACCCTGACCCTTGTTCAGTGTTGGCTTCCCGCCACTCAGCGTCTTGGCCACCGAATGCCTGCTCGCATCTCCAGCTCTCCATTGGCTCCCCGCTCATCACCCGCCTGCACCCTTACTCTCCTCCCGTGGGCAAATCACAGACTCCCATCACAGCTGTCGCGGCGGCTCGCCGGCCCCCGAAGCTCCCCATTGGCTTCGTCTCCTGTCGGTCGCACAAGGGGTGGGCAAGCCTTTGCGGAAGCACGCGGCATGCAGGACAACTGCTGGTCGCGCGGCCCCCAGCTTGGCCTTCAAACTCCCCTCTCTGCACACGAGCCTGGCCAGAACAAGACATGTCGCGGGCGGGGGTAGAAAGCCTCCAGCGACACCCCATTGGGCGCATGCAGGTGTGCTGCCCATCTTCAAGTGGTCGAACGCCATGCGCCTGCATCTAGACGGGCGGCTGGATCGTCGGGGCCGGGTGGTCTGCTGCTGTGTGGTCTACTGTGTCTGACCCAGTGATAATAGCTCGGGAGGGCCGCCTCACGCTCACCCTCCTCTCCCGTCTCTCCTCTCAGAACCATTTTGCGACTCCGAAGACTGAATCGTCCTGCTGCGCGAGACGATACGAAGCATCTTTTAATATCGACTGCTGGACTGTGAAAGAGCTCGACAAGACGAAGACGACAACACCCCCAACGTTACACAAGCAGACCAACAAAGACGACCCAGCCACCTTCGACATTTGGACTGACTGCAGGTGTTCGAATCTCTTGACAGCCTTGTGAACAAAGGGTCTTCAAAAAGAAAAGCCTGTCGGAACTCAGGTCGAAACGAGACTCCCTGCATTTGTTGAGACTTCATCTCTCGAAACCACCACACGTTCTCATCACCATGCTCGCCTCAACACTATCTGCTCTCGTCCTCGTGGCGGCGGCCGCCGCCCACATCGTCATCTCCTATCCAGGCTGGCGAGGGAACAATCTCATCACCAATGAGACCTTCCCCTACGGCATGCAGTGGACCTTCCCTTGTAAGCCTCGATGTCTCCAAGATTCCCCTCCTGAACCGGCCGGTATAAACTAACATGCCACCCAGGCGGCGGAACCCCGTTGACGCAGAACCGCACATACTGGCCCACGACCGGCGGCGCCGTTGCCTTCCAGCCCGGTTGGTTCCAAGGCCACCTCACGGCCACCGTCCACATCAACATGGGCTTCGGCACCGGCGGCCCCGACGGCGGTCCCCTCAACATGTCCAACACAATGGGCGTCCCCTTCCAGATCCTCGGCCCCAGCAAGAACCCCTACCCCGGCACCGTCTGCCTTCCCCAGCTGCCCATGCCCAACAATGTCACCGTCAAGGCCGGCGACAACGCCACCATTCAGATTGTCGAGCACGCCATGCACGGCGCGGCTCTGTACTCGGTAAGCTTGCTCGCTCGCGTGAAATGTCCTGTCCACCTAGAACAGCACGCTAACAGCCGTCCCCGTCTCCAGTGCGTCGACATCACCTTTGCCGAGCCCGGCGACGAGCGCATCGCCGAGGTCAACTCGACAAACTGCTTTAACTCGACCGACATTGGCGCCGCCGACATCTACACCATCACGACGCGCGCATCCGGCAGCAACACAGTCGTCAAGTCCGGCGCCGAGGCCGTCCTGCGCAGCAGCGCGCTGCTCGGCTGGGCGCCGCTGCTCGCCGCGGGCGCCTTCCTCCTGGCGTGAGAGTCGTAAAGAGCGAGATAGAAAGAGAAGCAGAAGCTACCCCGAGGGCTGGCGTGGTTTTTTTTTTTCTTGCGTTCTTTGGGACATTTTGTTTCATCTTGTATATCCGAGGCATAGATCAGCGGCGTTCGGGGCGAAATCAGGGACCGCCACATGTGCGGAGGTTGGGAAATCCGTTCTTTTCATCACAGTCGTAGGTGTTCCGTCAAACAGACAGACACCAAGGGGGGGCATTCTCTCCTCCCCATCATCGTGTTATCTATCAGATGAGTCTGTCCTTACTAGCAGGACGAGAGGAATTAAAATGACCTTGATCCACTCTTGGCGCTGCCTTTTCGAATAATGCCATGTACCAGAGACACACTCAGTACTGAGCATGTTATCCACGCGAATTCACGAAATTCAACAGTTCGTCATCAAATTCAAGATAAAGAAGCCCGTAATGTTTAATGGACAAACGGCTAGATAAATGCCGTACTGCTCACACAATGACACCTTCAACCCCTCTAGCAACATCGCATTAGACTATATACCTGCAGCAAGGTCAAACCTTCATTCGAAGCTTGTCGATAGTCCTTCTACTCTATGCCAACGCTTCATCCATCATAATTCATAATTCGCAAGCCTACCAAAGCCGGTCCAAGCACTCTCCAGCGACATCCTTCACCCTGGGTTCAGTAGCCTTGCCTTTGGCCGCTTTTACCCACTCCTGTGCCTTGAGCGACTCGGCAATGGCTTTATGACTCGTAGCGAAAGTGCCCAGTCCGACAAGACCGCGGTATAGCACCTCCGAGTCATTTTGTTCCGTCAGGATCTTGCCCAATACTGACAGCAATCGCTTGGGCAGGTCTGAACCCTCAAAGACAGCCTTGTCTTTCCGGCTCAGGACGGAGTAGTTGATGATGGTGGTAGTCGCGGCGATGAGCAGGTTGCGGTTGTGTTGACCGATGGATGTTCCATCGGCTATGCCCACCACGCGTTCCAGGAAGGAGGCCACGGTCGAGGCCTCCTTGGCTGCGACCTCACGGCCTTCCTTGGAGCTGAACAGGTTGGCGACAGTTCTGAGGGCCATCATGACGCTGTTCTCGTTGGGCGGGCCACCTTCGGGGACATCTGCGGCGCTGCTGATGGCGACTTGGACAATGGACCCAAGAATAGACGAATACCCAGCGACCACCGGCGATGGTGCCATACACCTCAGGAGATCCAAGCCTGCAAGCCGATCGGTATACGGCCATCTGGAAACGATTTTGATCGCCAAGTTGAGTCCAGGTTCGCTGATGGCTGTCGCCTTTTCTACTGCCTGGCGAAGCTCCTGTAGCGTTGCCTGCTCCGTGGGGTTGAGTGCAAAGTCCTTGCGACCTGATGAGATCATATTGGAATTGGTCTGCAAGATCTTGTTGACCATGGCATCGTACTTAGCCGCTGTAATGCTAAGGAAATCGTTTTGGGGCAGAACATTAGGCTTCGCAGCAGGCTCGCCAGGTTGATATCTCGCCTCTGTGCCGTACGGATCGGCAGCCGGGGGGGCTGACTGACCTAGTGTCGCGCCCTGTGTATTCTGGGTGATAAAGTTGGCGACATTGTCGAGGTACGTGAGGGGCAGCTCGTTATCGCCGAGGAACTTAGTAGCGGCCTCGTAAGGGTTTTCCGAGAGGTTGTAAGGAAGCTTTAGAGGGGGTTTTCCGTCTTCGATGTCAACGTCAAATACAAAGTCGTAGGACTTGCCCTTGTACTCCGTCTTCTTTCCACTACTCGCAGCGGAGTCAACCACTGTGCCTATGCTTATCCATTGCTGTTGGCCTGCGCTTTGTCAGTATGCGATGGGCGTCTACAACGGGGGGTATGCCTACTCGCAGACCACTGATGGGCTGTGATTGAGCCGTTGCCCTCGTTGATCATTTGCACCTGGCCCTCCTTTGTGCCGGATCGCTGCTGGAGGAATTCAGGCCCCGGCAACTTCTCCTTGTTGATATCCGGCAGTTGCTGCTGAGGAATCGAGGACGCTTTGATTGACTCTTCGAAGCTGGAGAGGGTTTCCGCATCCGCCAGGCGGTCGCTGCTGCGGGTGAAGATACGAGCGACGCCATCGCTCGCGCCAGACACGATGTCACCTGTCTCGGGGTCCGCCGCCACAGCCCACACCGAAATGGCCGGGTGCGTGATGGATTGGATGCACTCAAGGCCCTTCCACACCCTTAGTGTGCGATCCTCACCGGCGCTAAGTAGTTCTCCGGATGGCAGGCTTGCCAACGAGTAGATGAAGCTCTCGTGGCCAATCAGCTCGCCAACTTGCTGGCCATTCAGTTTCCACAGCCGAATGATACCATCGTTGGTGGCGCTGGCGATGTCGGCGCCGCTCGGGTGGC